ACTCAGATGAAGAGATGGATATTAAAAAAGAATAGTTTATTGTATCATGTATCAATTGATATTTTTTATTTTAGTATTTATAAAAATAAAAATAATAATTTATTTATATTAAAAATAAAACATATTAACTTGCTGAGTTACAACATTTACACAAATAGCAAAACCGGAGTAGACATTTCAATAATTACAAATTTAGTATAAAGATTTGAACAATCAATTACTAGATTAAATGTAAATAGCCTTACATTTAATAAATCTGAATCTAGTAATTGTATCAATCCAAAAAAGAAATGGAAGTTCCTGACAAATTATCATCCAAAGTATAATTTTAAGAATCAAAGCTTTTGTCAAACATAAATTACGATACTGATAATAATATGAATGTAAAATGAATAGTAAAAATAGTATATTATATCAATTACTTTATTTGGATTTATTAAATGTTGAAAAAAATAGTTTGGCTATAAATATAAAAGCGGCGTTATTTTTATTTTACTCTAATATAAATAAATCTGCATAAAATAACAATCGATACAACAATGGGTTTGATAGATTTTTCTCGACATTTTAACAATTTTTTTAACAAGTAAATATAATAATATTTGAAATTATTAATGAATTATATTGTATTAAAATAATTGTTATTTTTAAACAATAGTATGGATGCCGGAAGTAATATGACAAAAGCTCAACTTTTGGCAAAAATTAATGAATTAACTAAAACGTTCGAGGAACAAAAAAATGAAATGAAAAAAACGTTTGAGGAACAAAAAAATGAAATAAAAAAAAACCATGCTAATGAAATCAGTCTTTTCCGAGAAATAATTACCACAAAAGATAAAGAAATTACAAATTTGATGTCTATTATTGATAATCATGCTAAAGAAATCGAACGAATTGATGAAATGAGAAGAAAACATGAATATGAATACAATGAAAGGTTGAAAGAAAAGGATAAAATCCACAAACGTGAAAAAGAAGAACGAGAAAGAACCTACAAACGTGAAACTGATCTCTTGCAACAAACCATAGATCGTTTGGAACAAACTATTCGCTCCTTACAAACTCAAATTAGTGAAAATATTTCTCCTGAATACTAGTAAAAAATACATAATTATTTTTTTTTTTCTTTAGATTGGAATATCATAAAATTTTTATTTTATTTATTTGTAAAAACAAATTCATATTAAATAAAAATAAATAATTTAAACAAGATTTTATAAAAATAAATATGAATAAAAAAATCAAAATAATAAAAAATCAACGTTCGTCTTCGGAGTTTGTTTGTATTTTTTCAATTTCCTAATTAAATAAAATAAAATCAATAAATATATAATTAAATATTAATGATAATTGAAATTAAATAT